CCTGGTTCAAGTTTTGCATGGTATTAAGCCCCGTTTGCCCGACACCGAAGGCACAACTGGGGTTGGACGATGGAGTCTTGTTGGGTGGCCTCTCGACCTGGTCTCTTTTGAGCTTTAGGGTCGGTCGGGCTCAAGGCTTAGCTAAGCGATTACCTATTGTCTCCATTGTAGTTCTTTGTTTCGGTTAAACTTTTTTTATAGCTAGGATCCTATAAGGTGACCCCCCCCCCCAAAAAAAAAAAGGAACTACAATGGAGACTACAGGTAGGGCTCAGGGAAGTTATGGGGGTTGGTTCCGAGAACTATAGTTTGCCGCAAGCCACCCGAACTCCTAGGATTCGGCAATGCAAAGCTGCGATTGAGCGGTCGTTCTTGCGATAGCATTCCTAGCTTGCATGGCTGAGAGATGCTGAAGCTGAACATGCTAGCTCGCGTGGATCATCCCATCATGTTGCGGTCCTGAGATCTGTTCACAGGTACTGGTCTTGCTGACACAACGTGCTCCAACCGAACCCAATGCCTAAAACGCGTGATTCTGCCATCCACGTGGTCCTACAATCCTGCATATCACACGGAAGCCCCCAAGCCTCGACGGAATGTCCGGCCTTCTTCTGCTATCAATGTTTCACTGATGAACTATGACTGATGCAGCCATGCTCGTCATGCTTGTTCTTCTTCGCTCCTCACATCTACGCCCTCGGTTTCTTTCCTTTCTGGTGTGGCAGTACCTCTGAGCCCTAGAAGAGAACCTGCCCATTACTCCCCCGACAGCCGGGCCTCACCTGGCTCTTTGAAAGGTGTGGTCTTCCTGGCCGATGCCTCGCAAGGACTCGCCCGAGGCACTTGGAAGATTTGGGGTTCACGGGAGGGGAAGCTACCAGCCCTTGTGGAGGTTGTTCGTTGGAATTCTGCAACACTTGCTGGGTTTCTGTCCAGATGTGTTGCGGAGCTGTTGTTAAGGCTTTTCTAGCGGCCGAAGGTTTGGAGAGAGCAGCCCTTGACTATGTAGAGACTACCCAGGAGCCCACTAGCCTACCGCTAATGGAGGCTGCTGTCCGAAGCCGCCCTAAATGCCCTAAACCCTGATACTGTCTTGCCAGTCTTGCTGAGCAGAATGAGATGGCTTTGGAAGCAGTCCTAGCCAATTATGTTTCTAAGCTGCATGTGTTTGATGTTTCGCGGCCTCTCCTAGCCAATCGTTGCAGAAGCAAGACAAAAACTGGTGGGTTTCAGCGGCAAAGGCTTGAGAAGCCCGGTGCTCGCTGGTCTTTGTAGAGCTCTCTACGGCCTTTTTTGGGGCTTTCGACACTGGTGAGACAGAGTGTTTCAGGCTGACTATGCTCAACTGTGGATTTCGGATTTGGAGTAGATTCCTGCCCTATTATACGGTTCCCTTCGTAGTTGCCAGCTGCTAGAAAGCCTGCGCCTGCAGAAAGCAGGCAGAATTGCTGGAAGACGAAAGGCTGCCGGTGAGCTTCGATGTGCAGGAGGCGCCTTTCAGGGTTTAGGGAGTTTAGGGTTTAGGGTTGCCAGGGCTGCGAATTCTACCCTAGCGGTCCCTGCATCATCCTGGGGGTATGGCTCCCAAACTCTGCTCGCTCAGGAGACGTCTCCGCAAAAGAATGCAGGGGTTCCCCGTGACAGCAAGACGAAAGGAATCACCCGCACACTGCCATTCCCGAAGCTACGCAGGACGGAAGGAGTCAGTCTATTGACCGGGGACCGCGCGACAAACCATGCGCAAAGAAACTATGTTCGAAGAAGAAAGCACCGCACATACGAATGAGGGGATCCCCAAGGCAACGCAGACTTAATCGATACACTCCGCGCAACGAAACGACTTGTCACTGAAACCCGCCCCACCTTGCGAAGGCATGTGAGTACAGCTTGTTGGCATGTGACTGTGCCTGTTGCCTGTTGAACAAGCCAGACCCACCATATTTTCGTCACAAAAGCTTCGGAACCATCAAGACAGCCTAGCCCAGGATCAGGCCATGGCTTTCAACAATGGTTACCGGCGAGTCGAGACACGACTGCAGTGGATGTCGGGCGCACTAGTGATTGTGATCTTGTCACTCAAGCGTTCCTTGCTCGAATTCCCGAGTCTTGTGTTTAAAGATTTCTCTTGCGGCTGCGATCCCCGGTGTTGGCCAGAGCTGCATACGCATGGAATCACCCTTCGCTACCCTGAAGAGCAGACTTGTGGAGCTCAGGAGCAGGAGGAGGAGACAGAGGCTGATTGCGACAGCGAGCCCTGTCAGCCAAGGGCAGAGGTTCAGGGCCTTGAATTCTTGCATTCGGGTCTCGGGGCCTTTTCGCGGTGAGGATTCCTGCAGCAAAAGTCGGTGCGTGGGTGCCACTTCACACTCACGGCATCCACGACTAATCATCATCGGAACTGAAAGACTAGACTAGTCTCTCGCCTCGAGAAGAGACCGAACTGCCAGAAGAAGCAGGGCGAGCTAGAGCATGCAACTTCTTGGTCAATAGATTCAAGAGCACAGTCCTATCTAGAAGGCTTCTCTCGTCCTTAATGATGTGTGTTTGTAGCTCAGCCCTCATCACATAAAAGTGCTTGAAGGTGTTTTCTCATGTGAAAGACGGTCTGACAAGCAAACCAAACATTCCTCGAAGCCCGGATTGAAAGGAGCCAGACTCAGAAGACCGCGTCGTGGTGCCCGCTGAGTGGAGATCTGGGGAAGGCTTTTAGATGTCGGTTTGCGGATGCTTTTGGTTTGTCGGGGTGGGGAGCGGGGGTGACGGATGTATAATGAGGGCTTTCGGGAGTTGGGGCTGTTGTGTGCCATTGGATTCTGAAATGCAGAACCTTGCCACTACCAACTCTGTACTCGCGCCGCCGTGAGGCCTGGTTTCAACTGCAGCTCCGTACAAGCTCTAATGCATTCGAAGACCGAACTGCGCTCCCCGACATCCGAAGCCCTCAGGCCCTTCACCCTGAAGCTGGAGCCCCCGAAGCCACGAAAAAACCCGACAAGACTCTCTTCCTGCACTGAAGCAGGAGAGGCTGAGGAGGCCGAAGATGACAGCGAGCCGGTCAGCGAGGCGCGTCGAAGGGTCTTCGGATCGTAGCCTCGGCATAGTTTATAGCACCTTCTCTCGAGCAGGCGGAGAATCGAGGGCTTGGGTGTTCCGGAGTGTTAGGAGAGATCTTGTGACAATTGACTGGGGCAGGCTGGGTCTTCGGGGTTTTAGCCTGTTTCGGGGCTTTCAAGTCGGGATGACAGGTCTGAGGTCTGAGTCTTGGGTTCCGGTTGTTTGTCCGGGCCTGGGAAGCAGCCGGGATTTGGAGACTTCATCCGGCAGTTTCATGGATTCCGGGACGACCATCGGAAAGTCCCTCGAACTTCGAGGCTTCAGGTTTCTATCCGAGTTCAGGGGTATTGGGCCACCTTTTGGGCCCAACAGTTGGCCGGGGATTGCCTGGACTGCATGGCGAAGTAGTACCTTGCCAGGAGGAGCAGGAAGAGCCCAGCGAGCAGTCACCGCGATTTGCGATTGTTCCATGGCAGCAATATGCCAGCAATGAGCTACTACTATATCAAGAACCAGTCCAAGTGCGCAAGGCACGGTGGCGGGACCAGGACATGAGTGGCGAAAGCAGGGCTTGGGGGATCTATTGCAAAATCAGAAACTGGGCATTTGAATCAGAAAATGCGCATCAGAAACCACCCCGCGTTAGAAACCAGGGCGTATCAGGAACAGGAGGCGCATATCAGAAACTGGAGTGCTGGGGTGGTGAGAAGAGAGCATCCATGGCCAAACCATGATACTGACATGGTCCAATGCATTCTGAGACGAGCCATGACGTCCATGGTCTAATGTGTTCTGAGCCCAGAACATCCATGGCCCGAACATGATAACGTCCATGGTCTGATGCATTCTG